ACTTTAATAATGGTTTTGCAAGATCAGGTGTCTGATGGGCAGGCACACATGAAACAGTTACAGCAAGCAATTTATTCCCTAGTGCACAGGTCTCTCCCCCAGTTCCTCATTGGCTGAGTACTATGGGGTGCATAGTCTTCCTGGACGACACCAAAGATTTGTTATTCCCTTGTAAGGAATTCCTTTGTCTGATGGCTCAGGGCAAGCCTGCGAAAAAGGCCCGCCAAAAGTGCTGTGAAGGGAGAAGAACCAGCAAAGGAAGAGAACAAAGGGCTAGTGACTAACCACCGTCTTGAAAAGTCATTTCTGAAGAGTGACATGCTGCTTCTGAACTCTGCCCCTTCAGGGACTCTCTGGGAATGGGTTGAGCCAGTTAAACACCCTTTGGGCTGAGCCAGTTAAACAACTTTTGGGTTGAGCCAGTTAGATACCCTTTGCTAAGCTATTCCTGAAAATGAATCACTTATGCTATTTCTTTACAATATTGAGCTATTTACTGTTGTTATAAATCTCATTTATTGTGTTTTTCTTTGATAAATTACTGAAATCTATACTTTTTTTATTTTAACATTTTTCTTTTTACTTTTTAAATCAGTTTTCAAAAGTAAGACTGGTTTGCAGATTTGGGGGAGGGGTATTATTTTCATCAGGTATCAATATTACCTGACGTTACAAAAAGTAATTTGAAAGTTTCCATCTTTCTACTCTGAGCTAATTTAAGTAGCATTTGAGATATCTTTTTTAGAGTTTAGTAGAATTAGTCTCTGGAACTATCAAGATCTAATAATTTTTTAAAAATGTATCTTTTTAAAAACTTTTTTTTTTCCTTTTTGTCTTTTTTACTGACCGGTAACGGGATCGCAACCCTCGGTGTTGCACCCGTACCGGGGACCGGCAACAGGATTGCAACCCTCGGTGTTGCGCCCGCACCGCGCTCAGCCAGTGAGCGGGAACCGGTCTCCACATGGGATCCGAACCCTCGGCGGGAGCGCCGCCACACTCCCAAGCGGCGCACTCTCCAGTGCGCCACCGGGCCGGCCCTCTTTTTAAAAACTTTTGTAGAAATTATTTTCTGTCTTTAGCTTGGTGCTTTGGTAGTTTTGTAAAATTTGTCTTTTTTTATGTAGATGATCAACTGTTTTTCATTTAGATGAGAAAATTCAATTTTTCTTCATCTGAGGTTATTTTTCCCCACTTTTCTTTTTTTGTGGATTTTTACATTTAGCCCACTTCCACCTTTATGACCATTACCACCTTGCTCAAGTAAACATCCTATAGAGCACATTTAACATTTTACAAATGATTATGAAGTTTATTTTTTAAAGCGCATGTTAATGAAATGTTTGTAAAACTCTTGAAGCACTGCAACAGTACATTGTTATGGAAACCACTGATCTAGTTCATATTACATTATTAAGCAGCAGTAATTAAGACAGTATGATAATAAACTTGAAACAGAACAAAAGATTCTGAAGTTCACAAGGACAAAGTAACATCAGAATAACAAATATTGTGAAAGGGATGAAGAATGGTATTGAATTCATTATGAAATAAAAAAATAATATAATAGTATGAAATAGATAATAGAGCAAAGTAGAATTCAGAAATAGACTCAAGTATGTATTTTTAGTAAACCACAAAGGAGATATTTTAAAACAGAATATAGCAGATTATTCAGTAAATGGTGTTGGGACAACTGACAGGTTTGGAAAAAATAAGGCTTTTTTTTTTAATATCTAAATAAATTCATATTGGATAAGTTTTTTTCCTTTTTTAATGCATAAACTAGTAAAAAGCTAGAGGATTTCTGGAAAGTCTTAGTGTGGAGAGAGCTTTTTAAGGCACGGCACAATATTCATAAAGGAAAATATTGATAAATTCTAGTACATGAAAACTTAAAACTTCTTCATGGCAAAAAAATAAAAAAGAGAACAAGAACCCCTTCCCCTCCATTAAAAACATGCATTATAAATGAAATCCAGTTGGGGAAAATATTTTGCCATAAATGTGACAAAATTCCATTTAATTAAAAAATACAAGCCAGCCAGATCTTGAAAAAAGCCAAGAAACATCTTATTTCTATGGAGAGTCACATAAGGTGCACAGATATACATGGTTGTTCATGTGTAAGGTAAATGCTGGACATAGATATAGACTTATTCCCCCTCCACGTGCATATCAGAGTTCCCCCTACCCACTGGGAAACTATCCCTGGCCAAGGTAGTTACCCAAAGAAAGGCACATCCCCTTTAAGACAAATGGAAGACTGGAGGAAGCAGGGACCTTAAGTAAATTAAATTAGCATGCTAGTGCTAAAGCACTCTGGGGTGGGACAGTAGCAGTAGATTAACTTATCTACTCAGACAGATCTCGCCTGCACTCTGAGTTATGTGAGCTGGGTGAGGGTCTGCATATGCCTGCAAATGATTTACACCCCTACTTTGATCTGTTCACTGTGTAACTGTTGTATGTACCCCATGGCAGCCCGGATATCTGGCTGGCTGTTGTCAGCGACTTCCATAAGTCTAATAAACCGATGTCTCTACCTATTGAAGTACCAGGTGAGTTTTTTGGAATAGGCAAACACTACACAAGTGCCCTCTCAGATTTGGGGCTCCCGAATATATCATGTCTATAGAAATGGGCTTAATTATGCTAAATATATTATTATGTATATGTATATATAGAGCGCCGTTCAAGAAAAGTGACAGATCTGTTGGTATGAATATTGAAAGGTCTCAGTGAAAAAATTGGGTCAATAATATAAGTAGGAAGTTATAAATCAGTGAAGTATGTTCCCATATACATATCAAACATATTTTTATACACAGACCATTTTAGTATGTGTGTAGAAAAATATTTTCAGGACTTTATTCCAAACTATTCATAGAATAGTGATTATCTCTTAGGAATAGGATTTTCAAGGATTATAATATTTTATATTATGTGGTCTGACATTCTGGATTTTTTAAAAATATAAAATGCCTGGGGTGCAGAAGAAATTTTTTAAACTTTGAAGTTTTTATTCTGCAAGTTACCTGAGATTTTTTTTAAAATTATTATAAAAACAGTTTTTATTAAAATGAAATTGTGGAATATAACGTTTCATTTTAACATAGAAATTTTTAGTTCTCTTGAATAAATTTGCATCTTTACAAAGCAAAAAACTGTTATTATTTTAAAAATTTATACAACCTAATAGTCAAAAGTTCCTAATGGAGGAAAGTTAATAAGTTAAATATACCTGATTTTGAAAATCATCTGTAAATAATTTTACAACTGAAAATTTAGAAAGTTGTTGTAGAGTCACTTTATAATTTGAAGAAGTGTGCTGAATATAGAGATGTATAAATTTGTCATTAGAAACTTTTGTCGGGCCAGCCCGGTGGCACACTGGAGAGTGCACTGCTTGGGAGTGTGGCGGCGCTCCTGCCCAGGGTTTGGATCCCACATGGAGACTGGTTCCCGCTCGCTGGCTGAGCTCAGTGCGGGTGCAACCCCGAGGGATGCGATCCCGTTGCCGGTCCCCGGTGCGGGCGCGACACCGAGGGTTGCGATCCCGACACTGAGGGTTGCGATCCCGCAGTGCGGGTGCAACCCCGAGGGATGCGATCCCGTTGCCGGTCCCCGGTGCGGGCGCGACACTGAGGGTTGCGATCCCGACACTGAGGGTTGCGATCCCGACACCGAGGGTTGCGATCCTGTTACCGGTCAGTGAAAAAGACAAAAAGGAAAAAAAAAAAAGAAACTTTTGTCAAGAACTTATTGTAGAAAATTTCAGTAACATTTTTGCTTTTTAGGTGAAATTATTTTAACTGAATGGAAAGATGAGTAGGCATTTTGCATGAGGCGATTGGAATTCCTTACAGTAATATGATGTATTTTTATGTAATGGTTGTACTTCAAAAAATTGCAAGTTGTTTCTGAATTTAAATGTATATATTAGCACTTTTAAAAAATTCTATTTGTATGACATTGTGATGAGGATATGGACTAAAAACTCCTGAACTGCATTTTAATAGGCATAGTATCTTTTAAATTTATCATAAATTTATATGTGCAGATTTAAAATTTATACCTGGGGACTTTAATATCACACAACTCATGTTCAGATGTCATTGAACATATAATTGTTTCTACATTTTACATTATGCTGTACTTTGAGATTGTACTATAAATCTTTTGTGACTATGACTTATTTCGGTATGTTGCTCACATTGATTTATGTTAGTTCATGTTACTGTAATTTAAATGCACTCTTTCCAGACCAGCCACTTAATGTAGCAGTACTTAGACTTGACTATTTCCTACATTCGAGTTTTATCACTTTCACTTATAAAAGCTTTGTAGGAAATACTGTATTTTTTCAGTAGAAAAGTTCAGGGGATTTTTTCTTTTTTGAGATATTTATATTTGTGTTAGTTTCACATCCAACTTGTAATTATTGTGTTCATTGGTATAATTTGAAAATGTATTTTACATGTGCACAATTATTCTTACATTTCTTAGGTTCTAGTTAATAGTTACTGTATCTACCATTTGTAAATTGACAACAGTTAAAATACAGTGAATACATTTAGCCTGTTGCTCCTAATTTAGACATTGATTCAGAAGCAGTAGCCAAGATCTTGAAGTGCCTTGGGATTGTTGCCTTAAATAGCAGTTATTATTATATTGTAAACATGTTGACATATTTCTTCTAGTCAAACATTGGCCAGTAATGAAGTAGCTCTACTGAATTAAGAGAAATTGTTCTTGTTTTTCAGTTTTTTTTTTTAAGGAATTTTCAGTCACTAGTCTGTTTTTATGGTAAACAACCATACAAAGTAAATTATAATAATAAATAGTAAATTGAGAATAAACAACCGTAAAGCAAACAAATAGATAGCTACTATCTTTAGCTGTGTTTAGTTATTTCAATTTAAATATTAGACACTGTAAAATTTATTTTTTTCAGAAATTATTAATGTTCTGTATTCCAATGTTTTTGATTATTTTAGGCTGCAGTTCATGGAGCTCGTTTCAAAGGGCAGGATCTAAAACTGGCATGGAATAAACCAATAGCTAGTATTTCAGCTGTTGAAACAGAAGAAGTTGAACCCGATGAAGAGGAAGTATGTTTTTTTTTCCACTTGATTTTGACATTCATTGTTCATAGTTTTTATATAAAATGTGATTTTTATGGCTGTGATTTTAACATAAAACTTTTATTCCTGAGCCATGTTCCAGGCAGGGTTTATAAGATAAATGCAGACAACTTAAAATTTTCTGGATCAGTGAGAACTGTGGATTCTAATCCCAAGAGAATACTTGAAAATCATATATATACTCAGTTTTCATTTACTCTTAGAAGACAATAATTATTAGATTTTTATTCACAGGAAATCTTAATATTTTAAGTTTTAGAGTATCTATTCTGCTCTATTGCTTTATTAACATTTCAGCTTTCCTTTATTTTAATTCATATCATTTTAGTTCATTAGAATGAATGCCTGCTATATGGTAGATACTGTGCTAGGCACAACAATGAATAAGACACGGTCCCTATCAAGGAGCTTATAATCTGGAAAGGGGGGTGGTGGCAGACACATAAGAAACTAATTTTAATAAAAGGTAGACTGGTATGCTGAATAAAGATTTGAACATCTTGCTGTGGGAACCTAGAGGAAAGAGTGATTGTTTCTGTCCAGAAGAACCTCGAAAGAGGAGGTATTGACAGTGGAGGTAGGTCCTAAGTGATAAAATAGCTTTCATAATCAAGAGGTGGTGCTAGGAATATAGTTGAGAGAGGTATTTTAAACAGAGGGATAAGCATCAGTTTAGGTATGGAAGAGTGCATATTTCTTGGATAACAGTAATTAGTCTGATGGCAGAGATAAGATTCAGGATAGGTATGGAAGAGTGTTTTTCTTGGGTAACAGCAGTTACTCTGGCTGAAAAGTGTGGGCGTATAGAGCAGTGAAGTGAGAGAGCCCTTTGAAAACAAAAACTTAAAAGTAAGCATCTCTGTTGCTTAATCATGAAATAAGCTGTAGGAAAAAGTTGATGTTAAGATTTAAAGATGAGGTAGGAAAACTGATTCCATATTTTTACCTTTGTTAGATTTTCATAATGGCATTTCATTTTGCTTGAAGAGCATTTCAAGGCTGTTATACATATCCATAGTCAAATGCAAAAATAAAATGTATATTTTGAAACTCATATACATGATTTGTCATTTTATATTTTAGATTATACCTTTGTCCTTTCATGAGTTTGAATTGAATGGGGAGAAAAGCAGGAGAGCTCCTGGTATTAGGTATTTTGAAAAGTTTTAAAAGCAGACTGAGAAGCTTTTATGAAGGCAAGGGGGAAAAGAAAGGAATGCTGTAGAAGAAAATGTTTGTTTCATATGGCAGAAAAGTATAAGTATTGATAGAATTTTATGCAAGTTTTTGGTTGATTTAGCATTCAGGTTTAGACAGGGTAAGTCAGAAAACTTATTGTTTTCTTTTTAAAAAAAATATTGAGCAATACTTTGAAGGTATAGAAGATGGCATTAGTTGGTAAAGAGAGGCAGGAGAAATGGCATATACAGAGGTTTACTTTGGTATTTTGTTAGTGCCTGTTTCATGCAAGCAATAAAATAGATATAGAGAAACCATTGAATGGATAAAGGTTGCTTTTCTTTGTTTCTTGAATGTTCTAGCTATAGAAATACCTTTTGTATTCAACTCTGTTGAGAGAGATCAGTATTTAAAAGTATCACCTTTTTTCTTTTCTTTTCTTTCTTTCTTTTTTTTTTTTTATTTTTTTTTTTGGGTAAATTCCTAAATACATTTTAACCTAAAGTTTCAGGAAGAGTCTTTGGTGGATGACTCATTACTTCAGGATGATGATGAAGAAGAAGAGGACAATGAATCTCGTTCTTGGAGAAGATGATTTGACTGATCATTGATCTGCATATGCTAGAACTCTACCTGTGTTTCATTAGTATTATCTAATGTACTTTTACATATTTGTAAAAACAATTTTTGGTAAAATGTGATGAAGATGGATTTCACAAATAGACAAAAGAGAAGAAAACTACCTTCTGATCCTGTATTTTGAAAGATTGATGTTTGCATTTTATTTCAGTAAACAATTGCTAAAGACATCACACTAGAAACATATGCAATGTTTTTATTACATACTTCTACTGAACATTACAGAATTCTTTGGGTTCTTTGTAATTTAATTAATAGGTCTGAAAACTTATGACCAATACTTGTTATAACTTAGAAGATTTTGTTTTACTCCAAATAAGGAATGAATTTGCATTTAAAATCTTAATGAATGTTTTCAGATATGAATAGATAACATAGTACTCTAACTAAAGTCTCCAAGTTATGTATTCATAATATTACATAGTAGTATGCTTAGGCTTTACTATGTATTAGGCTTTTGTTGGACTTGTATATGTATTTTACCACATGGGTTTTAATGATAATGATGTATGACTGCTTTACATATGAGTCCTTCTGCATCTGGATGTTAAAAATAAAGTGGAATGGTCTCTTAAAAAGAAAAGAAAAAAAGCAATTACAAAAAAAAAAAAAAAAAAAAAAAAAAAAAAAAAAAAAAAAAAAAAAAAAAAAAAAAGCCAAGACGATATTCTTTGATTTTAAGAGAAAAAAGAAAAAAAGAAAAAAAAAGGAAAAAAAATTAAATAGACCATTCCAGATGGTGATCTACCCCTCCCCCCAATTATCACAAAAGGAGCTATAATCACTAATTTATTCTTAATAATAATGGTAACTGGTACCTTTACAGTAATGTACAATCCAGTGTTTAAAATTTATACCACTTCAGTTTGGTTTGATCCTATAAATTTTCAACAGATGTCTTAAAATTTAAAAGCAGGCTGATTAGTTTGGAGCCAGACTTCAAGTAGAGCTAACATTTGGTGAATAAGAAAACATCACATTACATTTTGGATGTATGAAAGAAAACTTGACCATTTGAAGATGTATGAATAAAGAAATGTACTATAGATACTACTTTAGGAAAACACTGTTTGGTAAGTGTTCCAGTCTGATATTTTAAGTGTGCATTTTCTATACTTGTATAAAAATCTTTGACATTTGAAACAGTACTGTGATTTTTAAGTGGATTCTCTGGCAAGTGAACATGGTCACGGAAGTTGATACAGCAGTTTCCAGGAAATAAATTCATTCTTTGTAGAATGAAGGGGTGGGAGATTACATATTAATCTTTTTAAATTTATCATTTTGGTTGCAAGTGTTTCTGCCTTTCTTGAGATTATAGTAATAATATTAAAAATCACAATTTAAAAAAACTACTTTCTTCCATATTGGGGTTTTCACAATCAAAAACTAATTTTACCACCACCATAGTCTTCTGCCACTGGAGGAATTTGTCGATGCTGTTCTTTTTCTTTATTTTCCCCCACACTTGGAATTAAAGTTGTATGTATGTTCTTGATGTAATACTATTTCATAGGAATGTTTTGGCTTGCAGTTGGAGAAAATGTAAATATTTAAAATTTCAGAATCAGATTTCAGTTCTCAAAATAGTGACTTTACTCAAAACTTCTTTATTACACTTAGCTCTATGATATATTTTTATGTAGTCTTTTGTGTGTTGACTGTGTGCTATTCTGATTCATTAGGTAAGTTTGTTTTCTTTTCTTTTTAGTAGTCGTGAAAGGTGCCAAATTGGCAGAGGCTCACGTTTCTTCTCTTTACACCAAACAGGTATTATAAAGAAAATAAATCTTTCAAAGGCCAGTTAAATCTCCATGCTGATTTTTGGCTTTATAATGTGATTGGTAAATTTTAGCCTCTTTTTTCAAAAATTATTGTAAAATTCCCTTATAATATAACTGAAATTAACCTACTTTGTTTCTGTCAGTCCATAAATAGTTAATCCATTTCTCTATTCTAAAATTCTCTATAACCTAGAACTTAAAATGTTTTAATAACTCATGTTGTTTTAAATGAATCAGAAGACAAGTATGATTTAATTTGCTTCTAGAGTATGGGGATTAAATATTACCAACATTCATTAGGTTCACATTTACATCTTATTAAAAATATTTTAATTATTAATATTAGTATTAAGTTGTTATTGGATTTTTAATTTATGTGTATTTTTATAAATACCAGTATTCTATATGTACTTTCATATGTTCTCATTTAAAACTTAAGATATCCCTTTGAAGTAGTTGTTAATTCTCATTTTACAGATAGGAAAACTTAGTCCAATAAAGATGAAGTGCCTTGCTCAAATTCATAACCAGTAAGTGGAATAACTAGATATGAATGCAGGCATTCTGATTTCATTGCCAACTTTTTTGTAAAAATACTCTAATTGCTGCCTCCTTCCTAATTATTGACTGAACATGAGGTTGTGTTTATAGTAAACGTGGTAGTTCTTGCCTCGAAGATATTGCACGAAATTAATAGATTTCTTGGTTATTAGCCAGTTTATACTGTTAATCCTCCCTTTTAATACAGCACTTTGTTCATATCTCTGTTACAATACTTATGTTGTAATGTAATTTATCTGGTTTATATGTCTGTTTTCCCCACTAGATTACAAGCTCCTCTAGGAAGGGGGACCATGTCTTATTCATCATCTTATCTCTACTGCTTATCATAAAGCCTGGCTCATAGTGGGCACTTAGACATTTGTTGGATGAATTAATGAATGAATGCATATTTAAATCTCCAATAATGGAGTGACAGTTATCTCCCTTGTTAATTCTTACCATTTTTCCAAAAATCTCTCTTGAAGGTCTTCTCAGTCACCAGGACCATTTTGCTAAATAGTTGATACAGTTAAGTTTCTCACCAGTGGGGTTACAGGTACTGATGGGGAGGTATAAGGGTACTTCAGAAAGTTTGTGAAAAGATTCTTACTATCTTTTATCTGTTTTCCATGAACTTTTCGAAGTACCCTTCTATACACTTGTAGTCTTAGTGGAAGTTCCATAACAATCAGTAAGGCATTAATACTAATATTAATATTAGTATTAATATTAGTGTTAAATGTTTTCCATTTCAGGGGCAAAATAGCCTTTGGTTTTCATTAGTGAGTATGATTAGAAATGCTAGGAGCCACCAATCTAGCCCTTCCCACCAATTTTTTTTGTATACAAAGGTGACCTAGTATAGAGTCCGGGACAAGGGTTAAGCGATTTAACTTTAGGTTCCAGCTCTGTGGCCTTAGACAAGTCTCTTACCTTATTCAGGGCTGTCTCTTTTTTGGTAAAATGAAAGGGATTGGACTAGATAATCTCTAAAGTTCCTTTCACATCTGTAGTTTTCTTGGTGCTGCATTAGTGTTTGATCTAAAACAGTTTAATATATTAACCAACTCTTCCTGTTGTTGCTCTTGTTGTTTCTATCACCTTATCAATGCAAACTACTTAAATTTGGTTATGATAATTTATATAATATCTCTTGATACACTTTTGTATGTAGTGTTCCCAAATGCTTAAATTTGTTGGTACAAATTCCATTCAACCCATAAAATATAGATTAACTTCTGTGTTCACTAGCACTTCCCCATCCCAATAATAATTTTTCATTTTATTTCTAAACTCAGTGTTTAAAAATACAAATATTTGCCTGTAATGCAGTTACAGTCAGTCCTCCTACCAATATGGCCATTATCTTATTTTTTGATGGCTGGCCAGTATGGGGATACAAACCCTTGATCTTGGTGTTACAGAAAGCTGCACTTTAACCAACTCAGCCCAGTGAGACTTCTTCTACCAGTGTGGATTTAAAGTCTCCTTTCCATCATAGTTTACTTTACTTTTTCTTTTTACAGTGTGCTATCTGAAACTAGAAACAAATTTTTAATTCTACAGTTCTCTTAACAGTTTATTTGCTTTAGTACAGATCTGGGCTGTGCATGCTGGGTTGAGAGTGGGAAAAGGACTGAGGTCATTGTAGGTAGCTACTTCTTTCAGGAAAAATTTGAGAGAAATTACATATTACTGGTTAAAAGATAGATTAGGATTACCTCAAGGGATGGTTGAGTTGTTATTTTACACATTTTACTCAATATTTTTATATTTCTAAGCAGTGTTGTTTTAAAATGTTATTGGATAATTGTAACATTTTAAAAAATTATTTAACTGATACCCAATCATTTAATGAAAACCTGTTGCAGGAATGGGAGAGTGTTCCATAGCTTTTGTTTTATTGTAATATGATCAAATGTAACAATCAGTAGTTTACTATAAAGATAAGACTTCACTGTGTTAGTTGATTGCCTATAAAAAGTGTGACTGAGCTTAATTGAAGGAAATATCTTGTTATTAGAACTGTTTTTGAGGGGACTGTATTTCTGCTCTTACTTGAAACACTAACCATTGGCTATAAGGGTTCAAAAAAAACACAGTTACTTGTTTGGCATGTTGAAGTATCAATGGCTTTTTAAAAATATTACAGCCTTGGGCCGGCCCGGTGGCGCACTGGATAGTGCGCCGCTTGGGAGGCGCGGCGGCACTCCCGCCCGAGGGTTCGGATCCCACATACAGACCGGTTCCCGCTCACTGGCTGAGCGAGGCGCGGGAGCAACGCCGAGGGTTGCGATCCCATTGCCGGTCCCCGGTCCGGTACGGGGGCAACACTGAGGGTTGCGATCCGTTGCCGGACACGAAAAAAGACAAAAAAAAAAAAAAATATTACAGCCTTTATTGATCTATATTTTCTTTTTCCTCTTACATGTAATGCAGACTAATCATAGGAAATTAATTTTAGTCCAGTCTAGGACTTATATAAACATTTGTAAGCCTTTTTTTCCTCCCCCTTAGGAAAGTCTATTCGCCTTTTAAAACAAAAATATCCTGCATGAAATTCTAAGTTAGTTGACTTTTTGGTCTTTCTCTCAGGGCTTTTCTTGTTCTTCCGAAATTCTATAAATTATAAATGGAAGTTTAATGTAGAATTAAATCACCATTGTACAATATTTGTAAGGCAGAAAGAAAATTTCCTTTCCCAGATCTCAGGAACTTCCTTATTCTTGTTAATTCTTTGAACTGGCTAAGTTGCTCAAGGTTATGTATACAGGCCTTTAGAGAAAGGTTGGTTTTTTTTCCCTGTGATCGTCATGTACCTATTAAATGACAATAGATAATCTTCCAAAATAGCTACCTTAAAGTCCTAGAAAAGAAAGAAATCGTGGTGAACATGACCGTTGTTCTCAGTAATTTCTAATGAAAACATCAATACTTAGTAGAAAGACACCTAAGTTGGTAATAACTTTTTCACAATTAGTATTGTGTGCTCATTACTTAGTGTAATTACCACTAAGTCAAACTAACTTAGTGGAAGCATTTAAACATTTTTTTTGTATCAACTTTTTATACTTTCTTCTTCCTAAATCCCTCCTTGTTTCTTTATTTCATGCGTCTGCTCATCTTCCCATCATCCAAAGTTAGCCTTCTTTTGTATACCAGGCACTGTCTCATTTTGATATGTTCTTTTTTATTTATTTTTGTTGTTGACCTTTGAGCTTAGTATGGAATTTTACATCATATAGTGTGATTAAAGAATGAAACAATATCATGTGAAGTTTAAGAAAATTAGATTACTTTGAAATCTTTGGAAAATCCTAAGAAAACAGGTTTTGCTTTCATTTTTATTTATAATGCCTTGGAATTTGTTCATGATTTCTTAAAATATTTGTACCTACCCAAATCTCTATGAAAATTTTCTGTCTGGTCATTTAGATTTCCTTACCAGAAATTTTAAATTATAACTGTGTTGTAGTGCTGTGATCTCTGTAGCTTAATGGTTTAAAGAAGTGTGATGCAGAGAGGTTTTGTTAAAATCATTTTAGCCCAAAGCTTATTCTTTGTGTAATTTCTCTGCAACTTTAATTTTGATTCTTTTCCTGAGTAGATTTTTTTTAATGTTTAGAGAAGTTGGAGATGAATTTATGGTGTGATTCAAGTTTTAGATTTATGTACTATTTTCAAGTTTTTTTTAATAGTCTTTTCTTTTTTCAGCAGAGAGAGATCATCATTGCCTGAATTTAGTTTTGTGACTACAAGAGCAAGACCTGTTCCTGTCTGGAGACGACTGTTAAAATAATATCATCCTATCATTTTCTGTTTGCCCTTTACCAATTTGAATAGAAGTTTACATGTACTATAATTATCATTTTATCTTTATAGTTCTCAAGAGTACATCTGAGTCCAGAAGTGTATCTGAATGTGTGCTCTGTCTGACCTTATTCTTAAATGTTTTCTCCCTTTATAGCCATTTGTTTTTTAAATACCTTAAGAAGGAACAAGGCCTCTTAGTTTCCTAATATGAAATTTTCATTCTCAGCCAAATTGAGAATTGTGTCTAGGAAATATATAAAGCCATGATACTGTGTTCATTAGCATGAACAATTTAGAATGAAGAAAATTAAGAAGTTAAACATCAGTTTGGTTTTAATTTTTCTGGGTTTTAGGATATATTTCTGGGATTAATACAGCCACTTAAAATAATTTTGAGCAGATGATAAAGTACTTTTTTATACACTGTAATAATAGCTTGCCTCTTTCTTCGGAATATACTTACGTCGCTGCCAAGGCCACTTACCCAAATATATATATTTTTTAATTCTTAGTTCTTCAAAACCAACAAGGAGAATAATTTTCTTTCAAGTAACAAATGATCTGTGGATTATGAATATTGAAAAATAACTATTAAATGTTTAATATACACAGGTTTTCCATGTTTTCTTCACTTGCAAATCAGGACATTGAAGATGATCTTAAAAAGAAGGGTTTAGTATTGTGTGTCTAACATTGTTAAAGACCATAATTTCCACCTGACTTAAAAAGTATGTCCAAATTATTGTTCATAAGTATGGCTTAGAATTATTTGTAAAGGAAATGATTAAATCCTATCCTAAAAGATCACCCACAGCATCCTTTATATAATGGGCACCATAAAGAAAAGTTTACGTGATTTCTGAGTATTTCTTCATAGGTTCTCAGGAGGCATTTGAGAAGTTGAAAGTTATACTTGGTAGCAACTTTTTAGTAGAAAAGTCCTTCCCCATACTGGCCAGCGGCCAAAAAAAAAAAAAAAAAAAAAAAAAGGAAAAGTGCAAATTAAACTCATTCTATTCACCTTTGTTTTTTTAGTTTCATCCAACCATACCCATTTTACTACTACTTTTTTTGTGCAAAGCTGACTATTCTGCAAACACCATTTTCCCCCTTGAGTATGCATTGTATTTGTCTTTGTGAAAAATAAAAAGAATATAATGAGCACATCAGTCATAAATTATCTATCTTGATCCACATTGGTTGAACACAGCATGGTTAAGGCTAAGCTTGGTTAAAGGAAAACATATTTTGGAAGGTCTAATATAAATATGACCTAGTACCCTAGAAGGTATTTTTTTATTAGACTTTTGTTTTGGTTCACATTTGCAAACTAGCAGATAGCTGCAAGGAGTTTATAAATATTTTCCCAGATTAGTGTTTTTTTATTTTCAAGGAAGGAGATTCTCTGCTCCTGTAATAGTGGTTTAGCTGCTAGATTAGAACCCAAAGAACAGTGTCTGAAGAGATCACTTGCTGTTAACAGTATTGATTAGTTAATGGATGTGGACCACATACCATCCACCCTTGAGTTTATTTTGTCATCTTCCTTTTATTCCCCTTTGCTTTTAAATTAAAAATAAAGCAAAACAGAATCAAACATGCCATTGGGAATCAGAAGTCAAGATGATTTGATTCTCATTAAGATCATTGTGCTTCTTGAAAATGCTGTGAGAACCAGTCAGACAGTTACATATTTAAATCCCCATAGGTTGATTGACTTAATGATAAAGTTTGCATTATTTCACTTCCCTGAATAGGATTCTCATGGAGCTATGTGTAGATAACTGTACGGAATCACTTTTGTGTAATTGAATGAAGCAGTTTACCTCTGTATGATTGCATTATGGAAGCCTTTTATATATCTTTATATTTTTCAGTACACTTAGATTTTACAGTATTAGCTGCTCTAGTCATGCTATATTTGTTTTTTTTTAAATAGAGTTTATAAATATGCTTAAAACATAGATCAACTGAATATTTTTGGTCTTGTTTACAAGATAAATAATACTTCAAAGTGATACAGGCCCCTCAAGTGTCTTAGGAAAAAAGTCATTGGTGCTACAAAGTTCTTCAGTATCGTTTTTGAACCTGTTGTCTAGACTTTGCTAGGCTTTAATCTATGATTGCTTGCAGTTTATTCTAATCTAGCAGCATAATTATAAAAGTGGTCGAGAGCCCAGCCCACTAGAAACACCTCATAATTTAAGGAGGTGATGTAGAAGGACTGTACACTTATTTGTGCCCAGCTTTCCCAAAAGAAAATAGTTTATTTTGATAAAAGGAAGGTTGTTAATTTGGCTAGAATCAAAAAATGATATGTTCAGCATGGCTATTTTCCCATATTTCAAATGGGGAACTTTTCTAGTCCAAAAATAATATGTAATCTTGCTCTGCCTTAAAGTCCCGTCTGTCGTTTACTCAACAGGAGGCAGAATAATTCTTAAATATTTACAGAACATTTGATGAGTTTTAAAGAGATATGTTATTAAGTTGTACAAGTTTTGTGTTGATGTGTAGATTTTTTTCTTTTGTCCCCAAGATTTCATTCCAGCACCTCAGTGAGTGTTCTTAAGATAAAATTTTTTAAGTATCAGCAAAGCATTCATAGATGTTTACTTTTGATTCTCAAAATCCTGAACCACTTTTGGGTGTGATATTACTTTAGAACATTCTGTCTGGCACAAGGTTTTTTTTTTAGTAAGTGGTTTATTTTAACTCAATTTATGTGGACTGTTGAATCTAAGAACACCAAAGGAGTCTTTTCTTGTCTGGAGACTGAATTGTTCCAGTTTTTAATACCTGTGCCCATAAGTATCCCATTTCATGAATGTGTGTTGGCATGGGAAAAAGAATTCCCTGCTCTTTGAGTGGAGCAAAAGTAACTGGTTAAGCTGTAGCAGCTTTTTTGTTTATTTTAAAAGTGATAAAACTTGAACAGAAAAGGTAAAACTTGAACTAGAAAACTACTCTTGTACCTTTAGAATGTTTATAGTATTACATGTTTATGTGGGGTTGTCAACATTTTTATTATTTATAGTTGAATTATGTTATTTTGATGGTTAAATATCCATGTTTATTATTTTTATATTTTGAAAAAATTAAAAATAAAATGGTCTTACTAAAAACAGTTGTTAACGTTTTAAAATTTTCCTACATCTTGCATCAATTGTGCTAAAATAGACTAGAAAGAATAAATTGCATCCATCAGGTATTACACAGTTGAGAATTCTGAAAATGTTTATACAAGGAAATGAATCCTCATTTCCTCTTCCCCTTTTCCCCCTCCATTCTCACTTTAAGTTGTTTTAAGTCAGCTTTGTGTTACTGGCCTAATGACTCCTCCTCTCGCACGAATCCTCATTACTCTTCTCCCTAATTCCTGCCTCTTTATTGCTAGAAACTTTTCTTTATTCCATTTGGCAACAAAAAAGTTGTCCTTATCGTGAGTGATAAGTATAGAAATACTACTACCATGATGTGTGAAGTGAAATTAGACATAAAATGCTTATAATGTCAACTCCCCCAATGCCACTGAAAGTTTTCAGAACTTCCCTCCATAATTTTCACAGGTTTTGTCTGAACCTTTTTTCCTCCTGATCTAATTTGGCCTGCTTTTCCAAAATTAGCAATTCATTTCATGTGTAATTTCATTAAATGCAAGTATTGCAATATTTTATTTTCCTTTGCAGATATAACTTCTGTCATTTGTAATGTGTGTTAAATAAGCTTGGTTGTGACCTGTCTACTTGTGACACTGCTTCTACAAGAAAATACATTCTCATCTCAAAGTGCATGCATAAGTCTTGATTAAAAACTAGTTAAAGAGATCTGGTTGAGAAATAGTAGAGGACTTGGTTAGTAAATAATGACACACTTGGTAGAATTATTTCTAAGAGTTTTACATGTATGCACACACACACGGCCAGTCTCTGGTATATTTGCTGTTAGCTTTCACTTAATCTGAAGTATTTCTGCACAAAGTATAAATGAACCTGAATTTGTCCTTTTTTAATCCTTTAGAAGAATCACATGTAATGTATACCATTGAAGAGAAGCTAGAAATTTTTTAAAAAGCAAAGGTATAGTAAAGAATGCCTGTCATCTACAAATGATCACTAGATACTTTTCTAAATGAGATTATATAATTTATACTGCTTTGTAGCTTTTTTTTTTTTTTTTTCGCTTATGACGCTAAGTTTATATTACACTATTCTTGAGAGTCCCTCCATTATTTGTAGATAAGTCATAATATAATGAATCAATTCTCACTTTGGGCACTTAGTGCTTTTCCATTTTTTGCTTTAATGTAAACAATGCTGTATCCTTGAACATCTTTCTGTCTTTGATTATTCATGATATATTCTCAAGAACTGCTTGGTCAAAGTGTACTAGTTTTTAAAACTTGTGATACACTTTGAATTTGATCTTTTACAAACCAGATATTATGCATAAACAACTAAGTACTTCCATAATTTAGCTTTAAGAACAGCCTAAATTGTTTTCTTGGCACATGTGTTAGAACTTTTTGAATTTTTCGATGTCCATATTATAACAGGAACCAAATTATGCCTGATATATTTATTAGTTAAGCTCTGATGTAGTGGTGGCACGTTATTTTCATTTTCCAAAATACATAGTTACCAGGATTTTGTATATCAGCCGATTTATTTTTTCTTGGAACTACGGCTTTTTTTGTAATTTTGTTACGGCATTTTATAAGTTTTCAAGAACTTTTATAGTCTCATAACCAGTCTGTATGGAAAGATATGGCAGATAGTCTTTGTTTTTATTCAGTAAGATAAAATAAGCAGCAAAACAGGATTGGATTTCTATTTCTAATACCATATTCACTATAAAAATATATAAAGATCCACCAAATAAGAATCATAACAACCAAAAGTCCCCATGTTTTTAATGCTCCAAACCGTTCTTCTCCAGAAGAGTACAATTTGTGTTTTCCCTGTGAAGTTCATACTTGAAACACATAAAGCATGGAATAATAAAGAAGAAAATTAGGTAACAGGAAGGTAGGGGTCCATCTTTTTCTTCTGTCATAAACAGTAAAGGCCACTCCAGAAGAGTACAATTTGTGTTTTCCCTGTGAAGTTCATACTTGAAACACATAAAGCATGAAATAATAAAGAAGAAAATTAGGTAACAGGAAGGTAGGGGTCCATCTTTTTCTTCTGTCATAAACAGTAAAGGCCATTTTGACAGCATAATCCAGAATAAATTTTCTTGCAAGCTGTGAGTATTTTTCCTGAGTCATTGATGTAATAGTTATGTTTTTATTTAAACAGAAATGAGAATATTTTGAACACCTTATATACAATATTGTATGACATTAATTCCTGTTTTTGAGGGTTTGTGATGTTGTGGCAGAGCTTTGTATTCAGTGCTATAAGAATCCTGGTTCTTAATACCTAAGT